AAAGTAGAAACAACTTAAATGTCCACCAACTCATGAATGGGTAAACAAAATGAAGTACAGCATCCCTCAGCAATGGTGGAGGTTGGCCCTAGAGGCCCTGTGGATACTAAAATCTGAGTCAATTTTGTATAACCTGTGCAGATCACCTTACATACTTACTTATAATACCTCATACAATGTAAATGCTATGTAAATAGTTGTTATACTGCTTTGTTTAGGGAATAACAAGAAGAAGAAAAAGTCTGTACATGCTCAGCACAGATGCAACCATCTCAGGCCTAAGCACATTTTCAATTTGCAGTTGGTTGAATCTTCAGATGCAAAACCCTTGTACAAGGAGGGACAACACTCACTCACTCTCTCTTATGTATGTATGTATGTATGTATGTATCTACAATCAATGGAATATTATTTGCAATAAAAAAAATTACACATGCTACAATGTGGATGAACTCTGAAAACATATGCTAAGTAAAAGAAGCCAGTCATAAATGGTCATATACGATACTAATTATATGAAATGTTCAGAACAGGCAAATGAGACAGAAATTTGATCAGTAGTTTCCGGGGCTGAGAATGAGGAGTGAATGCTAAAGGGTAAGGGGTTTCTCTATGGGATGATGGGAATATTCTGAAATTAAATTGCAGTGATGGTTGTACAATGTACTAAAACCCACTGAAATGCTCACTTTAAATGGCTGAATGTTATGGTATATAAAATATGTCTCGATAAAGCTATTAAAAAGTAGATAATAAAGGAACGCACCCCCTCTTGTCTGGTCAGCTGTACTTTGCCACCTCCATCTCTTCTTGGTTTCCCTTCCTTTATGTCTAAATGCGTCCATCAATCACCAGCTTCCTCTTTCTCCCTCTCCCATCTCTGCAGCTCTGCGGACAGAACCAACCTCACACAGAATGCTCGATCAAGGTTCAGCTGAGTAATGTCCCTGAAGTTGAAGAGTCTGCCACTGTCCCTTCAGAAAACTTAAGCAGGGCCAGAGGCAGTGACATACGCCTGCAATCCCAGCACTTTGGGAGGCCGAGGTGTGCAGATCACTTGAGGTCAGGAGTTCAAGACCAGGCTGGCCAATGTAGTGAAACATCGTATCTACTAAAAATACAAAAAAATTAGCAGGGCATGGTGGTACATGCCTGTAATCCCAGCTACTTGGAAGGCTGAGGCAGGAGAATCATTTGAACTCAGGAGATGGAGGGTGCAATGAGCCGAGATCGTGCCACTGCACTCCAGCCTGAGCAACAAAGTGAGACTCCGTCTCAAAAAAAAACCTAAGCAATGAAATGACAGAATATGTGTCTGATGCTCTAATACTAGTGGGGCAGGGGAAGATAATGAATAGGTATTAAATGCTTCTTACATTTCAGGCACATCGCCAGCATGTAGTTCAGCCAGTACTGCTCACTACATGTTCAATGAATACTTATTAAGCATTTATTATGAGCTGGGCTGCGTTCCAGATGTTGGTCATATTGTAGTGAACGAAATGGACAAAAAGAGAAAACATCTCTTACTCATAGAGCTTACTGACAAAACAATAAAATTAATGACTTCAACCTAAAAATGCTGACAGGTGTTAAGCACGCAGAGAAAAAGCAGGAAGTGATGAGCAGGGAGCGTGGAGCAGGAGGGAGGCTGCAACTTCAGACATGGTGGCCAGGCAACAGCCCCCCGATGTGCCCTTTGAGCAAAGATGAGGTGGAGGAGGGCAGGATGCATCTCAAGCATGACCATAACAGAGGGGCTGTGCACAGAAGTCTTGGGGCAGGTGGTAGAGGCAGCTGGGCAGACGGAAGGAGGCTTAATCTTGCTGGGCCCTGTCAGTCATGTCAGGGCTTTGGGTTTTCCTCTGAGGAAGATGGGGAACTACTACAGGTTCTGAACAGAGGAGAGGGCAAAGTGGGAATAATAACAGCGCAGGACCAAGCCCCTTCAGCTCTAGGTCATGACGGATTTGTTTCTACAGATGAACACCTGACCCCAAAGGAACTGGGCCAGTCAAAACCTCCCCTCTCCAAAATCAAAAAAGGAGATGGGGTTAGAGAATGCGGGGCCTTAAACAGAGAAGGGATGAAGACAGGGTGGAGAAAGCTATTAACAGTTCCCTGCCACCTCCCACCCAAAGCAAGACAGCTGACCTGCATATTAAGGCCCCAGAGCCACAGAGGCGCAAAGGCGAGAGGCAGCAGCCCAAAGAGAAGCCTGCGGTGGGCCTCATTCTACAGCCTGATGTCCTTCCACACCTACAGGAGAAGGAATATGTGGGGCCTGCCTGGACCTTCCAATATATCCCCTTCTGCCTTGGCCTCTGGCTTTCTCATCCTTCCAACAGAAGATTCCAGTTCAGACAGGTGGTGAGCCTTCGGTGTTGTCAAAGTACCACATGGGACTAAAGTGGGTGCCGCGCATGGTTCTCAGGATCAGTCAGCTTAAGTAACTCCTGAGGGGAAGGGCAGGGCCTCGTGGAGGGGCAGCTGGATGCCAAGGCCTTTCCACCTACCTCACTGCAGGCCTGGTTCCCCCAGCTGCTTCAGGAACACCACAAAGGCATCTACACAACTCAGCAAGGTGCACATCAATTACCTCACTCCCTTTTGAATTTCCCCATGTGGCAGTATCTACAGGAGAGCTTTCAACATATTGCTAAAAAATATACTTAGTGATACTAAGTTACTCTTTTTAAAAAAGTTCATTAAGCTGTGAAATACTTGCTTTGGGTGAGGTAGGTCTCGGTGTCTGAAGGACCTGCAGGCTCTGTCCACAGCAGGCTGTAGTCCTGCTCCGTGTGGGAAGCAGGGCCAGGGCTCACTGCTATTCCTCCCCCATTGCCTCCTGAGCAGCATACCAAGATGCCGAACACATGCCCAGGAGAAAAGCAGGAGTTAATGAATGCATCTCTGTCAACTCTAGGGCAGACCTGTCCTGAATGACTGCTTCTAACTCTAGGGGACACAAGGAGGGAAGAATAATCCTACAAGAGTCTCGCTCAAAGCACGATCTCTATGCCCTCTGCCCACAAGCATGTAGCTGGGCTGAGCCTTGGCAGGCAGCAGTGACTGGAGGATGGGCTGCAGGCTGCACCCACCATGAAGGCCTCCAAGCCTGCTCCTTTCCAGCTGCAAACAACCAAGACCCCCATGCAAACTGGTATCCTGCTCAGCGCCAGTTCATTTCACAGGATGAATGAAGATTTCAACAGTTACAATCATTCACAAGAAAAGTGCCACTCCTACACCATTCCAAAGACATGAACTCATCAGCCCTGTCACCTTTGGTGAGTGACACAGAAGGCAGCGAGGGAGGCCTGTGAGATGTTCTCTCACGGTAGACACTGGCGAGCTGTGGGGTTTAAGTGCCGGCCCTGCCCTCCACAGGACACAAACCTCCTTCACACTGAACAGTAACCCCGAACAAGAAGGCTCTACCATTCATAACCAGGCCATATTTTTCTTAGGAATTGAAGGTGTAAAAACTCCCCACCACCTTCCATCTACAGCAGCTTCAAAGTAAACCCTTCCTCATGGCACGTGCTTCAATACTAATTTCACCTACGGTTTCCTCTGCTTTTCCTACTCTTCTTTTCCCTTCACCCAATTTCCCTACATAAAAATCTGAACCCTCTTGCCCTGTTGTATGTTTATGTTAGGACTTGAAATCCCTTTGAGGAACTAAGCTAGGCAATACATACATTTCTCAGTTATGACTTAGGAACCTGTAATCATTCCAAATCATCTAATGATTCCTTGACTGTCTGTTCTGTTATCCTTCAGGCTGCGAGTTCAATAAGAAGAAATGAACAAATGGATGAGTGGATGAATGAATGAGCAAACAAGCAAATAGGGATCCTGTTTAGTTAGCCTCAGAGCACACAGCTCTTCGTGTGGCAGAGACAAGAGTCCTTCAGCGCCTGTAAAGCTTCTACTAGACAATTGCCTCTTCTCAGAAACTACAGAGAATGGTACTCTGATCTCCAGGATAGCTCACGCACAGGCAAAGCTCATTTCTCATCTAAGTTACACACAATGTAAAAGGTCAGTGACAAAAAGGGTTCCATTGTTAAATCTATTTCCCAAGTGAGATTTGACCTAAATAGTGCATAACATTTTAAGAATCCAAGTAAGAATTTTTTTTCTTCTTTTGAGACAGGGTCTCCCTCTACCCCTCAGGCTTGAGTGCAGTGGCATGATCATGGCTCACTGCAGCCTTGACCTCCTCGGCTTAAGTGATCCTTCCACCTCAGCCTCCCAAGTAACTGGGACTACAGGCATGTGCCACCATGCCTGGCTGATTTCTTAATTTTGTAGAGTCGGGGGTTTCACCACGTTGTCCAGACTGGTCTCAAATTCCTGGGCTTAAGCGAATTTATCCTCCCGCCTTAGCCTCCCAAAGTGCTGAAATTACTGGCATGAGCCATGGAGCCCAGCCATTAGAATAAATTTTTATTTATTCTTTCTTGAGTCTTAAAATATAAATTATCTCCTTACTATCTCTGAATATCCTGCAGACACATTTAGTCAAAAGTCACAAAACAGAAGCTACGAATATATACACTCCTTCCTAGGTAAGTGTTCAGATAAAGGTATTCATCATATCTTACTAATGTCCTTACAATCTTTGTAGGGAACCAACAACAGGAAACCTGGATGTTTACAAGGAGTACCTCGGCCATTCTGATCACTCCCTACCCCCACTCCCCTACCCCCACTGCTTTACTTACCTGCATTTTTAATTTCGGCATTTATTGAATTTGAACGTGATTTCACAAATGACTTTAGGTGGGGGCTGTGGAACAATTTTCACACCCTCTTCTAGGATATCTATCCTCTATTCTCCGAGGAGAACGGCAACACTGAAGCTTGTGCCACAATGTCCCCAGGGTCACCTGGCGAGGACTCCCTGCTCGAAGTCCACTCCACTGAGTGACAGGAACAAGCCCTGGACCACCCAGGCTGGGGATGGGTGTGGCCATCCTGACAGCACTCACCAGGGTGACAATGGCACATTCAGCTGTCAGCTGAGCAGCACTGAACAGCGTCCGAACAAACCGGTAAATCTGCTTCTGCTCTGGGTTGTGTTTGTCATAGTCTGGTGGCACTTCGGATTTCTGGGGAAGAAAATATTTTCAGATAACTGTTCTCCCCATAGGAGCAAAAACAAAATAATTAAATCATCTCACGAAACACAAAGAGATTACCGAAAGAGGGTGAAGGTTTTCATCAAAAATATCTAAGAGCATCCTTCCATCTGGATCCCTGGTAGGGAAAATAATAGAAAATGAAACTTACTTTCTGCAGGAATGTCATTCAAATAAAAATGACAAACAAAATACATTTTAATTCAATGACTCTTTTTTTTATATATATGGAGTCTCACTCTGTCACCCAGGCTGGAGTGCAGCGGTGCCATCTCAGCTCACTGCAACCTCCACCTCCCAGGTTTAAGAGATTCTCCTGCCTCAGCCTGCAGAGTAGCTGGGATTACAGGCATGCGCCACCATGTCTGGCTAACTTTTTTTTTTCAATTATTTTTAGTAGAGACGAGGTCTTACCATGTTGGACAGGCTGGTCTCAAACTCCTGACCTCAAGGGATCAACCCGCTTTGGCCTCCCAAAGTGCTGGGATTATAGGCGTGAGCCACAGCACCTAGCCAATTCTACTATTTCAAGAAACACAAGTCAGTGCTAAATGGTTATTCATGAATAATGATTTGTTTTTCTTGGGTACAATATTTAATCACTTTTGTTTGAATAGCCCAAGGAAATTAAGATTCTAAACCACACTTAGCTAAATTAAGTAAAAATTTAATTTTAATTTTCTGAGTTTTCAAATGAACCGAATCTAAGCAAATGACTTAAATTTGACATCTTATTTCCAAGCAAAAGTTGATGGATCTGCTTAAACCATCACTATACTGTGGCTGATAGAAAAGAAGTGCCAGGGTAAGAATGAATACTCGATATATCCTAGAGATCAGTCTGATTATTCACAACATGCAACGTCAGTACTTCATTAAGTTTCACAATTTTATACTGAAAAACAAGCGATGACAGGTAAAAAGTCTTTAGTCAATAACCTGTAAGTGAATAGTTAGCTATTACCAGGCAGGTACCTGCACAGAACCACTTATGGAGGTAGTTTTCACTGTGAACAGTGCCGTGGGCCACTGGGCTCCACAGGGACCCTCCATACCTCATCAGTGACAATTCTACTTTCAACTGTGTTATGAAATTTGAGTTTTGCCTAAAAATTTTTCTTTAAACAACCAAACTTGGAAGCCACAGCTTTTGGCTAACTGCATGTAATTTCGATAGTCTGTGCTTCCGTGTCAGGCTTCAGAACTTCAGAAGGCTACAGACCTGTCCCTAATACACACTCATCATGGCAAACATTACAATTTCTGCTTTACAAATTTACCATCTGTGTAAAAAGAGAAAGAAAAAGCTTAACAGCTCAATTTTCATTCCTATATCTGCACAACAGCCATTATTTTTAAAGCTCTGAGCATTTATATCTGTGCTCACTTATGCTTGCCTGCATGATCACAGGCAGCAGACACACAGATAAACTCAAGTGAAAGAAAGGTTCAACCCAGCAGGGAGTCTGTGAGCAGAAAGCAGCTTCTGGGTGTGCGTGGTTACACTCTGATACCGAACCTGGCTACAAAGTATCAGTGGATTCCCTCACCTTAGTTACTGAGTTTTCAAATGAACCAAATCTTGAATCTCTGTGAAGCACTGAAAATGCTGCATGAGAGATAGAGCCTGGCCATTCCTTGGTAGTTGAGCCCCATTCAATTTTCCTGAAGAATGAGAGCCCCACTCTAGAGAAACACTCACCTGAAGTAACTTTAAAAATGAGAACAGAGGCTAAAAATATAAATGAGGATTAAGAGCTCAAGCTAAGAAGACTCTGGAAAGGGGATTCTGGAGAATCCTCTGAGAAGTAGGCTGTTTCCTTACTTCCCCTAAAAGCTGTGTGTCCCAGCTGAACAGCACCACACCACCTCTATCAAGCTAACAGGTCTATCATCAGCACCAAAAGCCAACTTGCATGACTCAGGGAGGAGAAGGTGTGCAGATGGGCATGCCTCCTCGTACCTAGAGACCTGCAGGTGGCAATCTATACATTAATCATGCTTGTTTACAAATGCTGTTTTTCACTGGACTTTCTCTTCTTCCACTCACTTACTTTTGGCACAATTAATCACCATTAATCAAGGAGAGCACTATGATTAAACATCTGGGTGGTAGACTGCATTCATTTCCTAATTCCCCAGTTTACTAGTTGTATCATCTTAGTCAAACTAATCTCTCTGTGCCTCAATTTCTCTATCTGTAAAATGAAGATACCAGCATCACCTCAAGGAGTTGTTATTAAAGCATGTAAAGAGCTGACCAGAGCAGTCAGAGTAGGCACTTCACAAAGCTGACTCTTGCTATTATGACTCTGGCTGCATTCACTTCAGGATCCATCACAGTCTAAGTACTGGGAAATATCTTAGAGATTCTAACGCAAAATTGTCTTGAAAGCACACTGAGTTTCATCAATGTGATTATGCTGTTTTCTTAAGGCTTACGGATTTAAAAAGGTTAAACTAGTATAGAAATAGGCAACAAGACAAAATCTCCATTTTCACTGATATGCTATTCTAATTCAAGATTTAGAGTTCCAAAGTTGTACTGTTTTGTAATTTCTTAAACCCAAAATTCTCAAGCACCATAAAGAACCATGAATCACAATTACAGTATGGAAACAGGTGATCACAGAGAATCCCTTTCTAGGTGTCTGCTTCTGGTTATTCATGTTTTCTCCAATACTGTCCATTAGAGGCTGTCATCCAGCCTCCCCTGCACTAACTACGCTTTGTAAACACACACGGGTGTGGGGCTCCCAGCGGCTGAGCTCGCACTTACCATGTGGCGGCTCTGCTTGTTCTCAAACTAGCTCACACCAGCTGTGCTTAGGAGACTCATAGAACATACATGAATGTCACATTATGCATGAAATATGACTACCATGAGCATGGCTCTGTCCTCCTGAAAACTAAGGAGGATGCTTTGGAAAGATTTAATAAAATCGCTAAAAATAAATTTGCTGTAGATTAGGTGTGGTCAAAACTGGAAAGATTTTACACTCATCTGTTATGCAAATGTCCTCAAGCTTTCTCACTACTGAGAAAAAAAGCCAACTTGGAAAGGATGAATTCATTATAGCTGTGGCTTATGAAATACGTTTTGGTTCTCCAACCAATGTCCTGTGCTTGAAGCAAATGTCTTGAAGCTGCATTTTTAAAAATTGGCAAATGAATGTATTCTTACATGTTTTACATTGAAATAAAATGTATAAGGTAGTTTTTTTTTTATTCCGTTTTAACTGACTTTTAAAATTAACCAATTATTGCCAGATACACTTACATCAGAAAGGGCTTCTACATTAAAACAGTTTATGCCTAAATTTATAACAAAATTGCCTCTGCTGAATTCAAACTATAAATTAAATGTTTTTCATCTTAAAGCTGCACCCAGTAAACTTTTAAAATGACAGTTTACAAAAGACAGAATGTTTAAACAAATTTTACAGAAAATAAAGAAGAAAAAGGAAGCCAACACCATTGAGAAGCTTTGTCTTTTTGCTGGTTTCAACCACGTTCATTTGGTTTCCTCTGATTCAAAAGCAGTTCAGCACTTACCTGGGAAGTTTTAGTAAGTTATTCTACCTTCAGAAATTCTATGAAAATATGAGTTAAGAACATATAATTCAAAGGTTGAGGCAACGAGAATAGGAGAAAAATAAGAGCAACATAACAGAAGACAACGTATGATGTATTTAGTACACAACCATCCACATACCTGTTTTTGATGTGATAATATATTGCAAGAGCGACACTGTAAAATAAAATGCAAAGGTTCAGTGTCCATGAGCATACTCAAGACCTCACACGTTGCTTGGCCACAGTCTCAACGTAAATATTTAAACAGAAGTAAAAGCCTAACAATCCTTCTAAACAGTCCCATATTCACAATACTGATCAGGAAAATGTCCTCTTCTGAGTAAATCAATCTGGTACCAATACCCAGGAATTATTAAATCTCTTCTAGAAACAAAGAACTTCAAGTAATATTTAGAAACAAACTTGCTCTTTCTATTCAGAAATTTTCAGCTTTCTTTACTCATAAAAAAAAAAAAAAAAGCACTATGTAAAAAAATAGGTAGTACAAAGAAAACATCTTTAGAAATCTCCAACTAATTATCTACTAGTTTAGAAAATTTGTGGTTTCTTTATAAGTACCAGAAGTTTGCTATTTTTTCTCTTAATAACCTCTTGGCAATCTGCCCAAGTTATTCATTCACTTGCTAAAATGATAGCAACTCTAAGTTTTATTTGTAGCACTATCTTAAAATTTTATTTTATATTTTAAAAGTTCTGAATTTAATGAACAATTACATTCCCTTTCCCTGAACTTTTTCTTTTCTATAATAATTTTTTTTCTGACTAGAAAATATATTCATTGCAGAAATTTTGGAGAATATATTTACAAAGTATAAAGAAAAATCTTCTGCCCAAATGTAACTATTAGCTTAAGATATATAGCTTTCCATAAATTATGTGTATAAGCAGACAGGTCTGTATCCTACTTTTACCCCAATCATGTTAACATTTTTTATCATTAAAAACATGATTTTAAATGGCTGATTACATTCCTTCATATGGTTGTCAAATAATTTACTTTTCTCCTACTACTGAATGTTTAGGTTGTTTCTAACATTTTGCAATTATAATTAACACCATAATGAACATCCCAATATTAGTGCAATCTACAACTATATTATTTCCATAAGGATACATCTTATAATTTGGAATTACTTGACCTAAAGTCAGTAACCATGGCAAGGCTCTCAATACATACTGCCAAACACCTTTGCAGAAAGTCTACACAGCGTATTCCCAGCGTCTGTATCAATTCACACTCAATGACACTGACCTGAATATTTTGACCAAGTGTTCTCCAACTGGACCAAAAAAAAAAAAGTGTGCCTTTTTCAATTTGAGTTTCTTTAATCTCCTATCAAGTTGGCAGGGTTACTCATGTTCTGACCAACTTGTAAAAATTTTCTCTTTCAAAAACTGTCTAGATCCTTCCACTATGTTTTGTTTACATTAAAATTTATTGAAGCCAAAAATTATTTTTTAACCTTCTAAGAACATAGCTCACTGGCTGCACCAGACTGTGTTCTGATACTCTCAGGGTACTCACTCAGCCCAAACACTTCTGCTTACTCAGCCACGCCAGCTTAGAGACAGGGGCATGCACCTTGGATTCCAAAGCACTCAGATGCTTCCCTGTGACTTCACATGACAGTCGCTAATCTCACTCTCTTATATTCTTCCAAACCTCTCTCTTTCCAGAAATATTCATTCAAATGACTTCAGCCTAGTGTTGAAAGTACTCATGAGCAAGTAAGTGCTAATACATCCTTTTTCTCTTAACATCTTGAAAAGCACGTAAGCTTATGAAGAAATTATATCTGGGGTAAAAGAACTTCAGAATTTATAAAAAGTTATAAGGTTTTCAAAGTGTTTTCACATACGTTAACAATCCTGTAAGAAAAAAAAATTGTAGATGTTATTGATTCTATTTTATAAATGGGAAAGCTCGGGTTCAGGCAGTAGCCGCCAGGATTCCTGCTTGTGTAAGGCTGTGTGCCCTTCCGTTTGGCCATATCGCCTCCGGGAAAGGGAGGAATTAGTTTCATTCATTTACTAGTCATGCAGTGATGACCGCTCTTCTAACGTCGCATTTCAATGGAATGTTTCATGTGATTGGGGTTAGTGCCATGATTGCTATAATGTCTTTGAGAAAGACATTCCTGCTTCCCCTGTAAGGGAGCATAAAGCAGCCCGAGTACCACTAGACTGAAGTCACATCGACCTGGGTTCTGAACCTGGCTCCTTCCTCTTTATTACTGCTAATTCACCTCTCAGGGCTTTTGTTTCCTCATTTATAAAATTAGAACAATATGACCCACATCATGGAGTTGTAATTACGATCAAATAAAACAAAATACATAAAAGCATGATCTCACAATATTAACTTTTAAAAGAAAAGTCCCTACTATTGTTATTCCCCTAGTAAGAGGTCCTCTAACTTCTACAGACTGGGTGAAAATCTTCAGGGTCCCAAGGTCACTATCTCCCAAGCCAAAGGCAAGACTGGATATTATCATGGCCTAAGACCTCCAGGAAAAGCAGAGCCACTCTGCAGGCCAATTTCCACTCAAGGTTCTATCCCAGGAAGGGAGACTACCAGGCCGAGGATTCAGGCACGGTACAGCTCCGTGGACTAGCTCAGCAGTCGTCTTGAAGGAGGTGACTGCTGGGATGGAAAGAGGCCGTCAGCTGACAACCGAATCAGGCCCAAGTTTGCAGCTTCACACTACATACAGCCACTCTTGTCCAACCTGAGGCTGGCATCTCCCCAGAAATGGATCTCTGTCCCAGTGTGCCCCCTTTTAATTAGGCAGCACGATGGCCTGAGACAGTGAGGCAAGTGGAAATGAAGGTCCTTTCATATCTTAGCGGTTCTACAAAGGTCTGCGATATTTTAAGTGTTCACAGCTGTGTCTTTTGTCAAATACGGCTGTTGGAAAAACCAGCCTTACCCTAGAATATATTCAGGACTTTTATGGAGTGCCCTGGTTCCTGGACTCTCTGTTGGTTGACAACCCATCCTCTGGGAGTTGTAGGTATTTTAGAACGTTTGGGGTAGCCTTTTTAAAATGTCTAAGACCTGTGTAAGTCAGTGACATATTATCTATACAATGTTTTAGGTGATATGCTAGGCATTCACCCAAACAGCCAGGTCTCTGGCCATCATGCCAGCACGGCAGTGGGGCTCTGTGAGCACTCCTGGAAGAGCACCTGAGGGGTCCACTGGGGGCCTCTCCAGTGAAGGCAAACATGTCTTGGGACTCCGGGTCTAAGGGTATGTTCAGGAAAGTTTTGTCATAGGACAGTCTATCGTGTTCCTACACAACCAGTTAATCTTTTGGGACTAACATTTGGGACCACAGCATCCAAGAGGCACCTTAGGTTTTGGTAATCAACCATCATCCTTCAGGTGCCGTTACGTTTTGCATCGGCCACACAGAGCTGCTGTATGGGTTCTATGTAGGACGCATGATCCTCACCCTCTTTTTAGCCACTGTTATCTTTCTGAGTCTTCCTGGGAGATGTGAATCTATAGAATCTGTCTTGGGTGGGGTCATATACTGGCTCTCATTTGACCCCCTCAAGGGCTCTTATTGCCCTTGCCCAGAGATGGAATTTGTCTGAGTTACTCTAAAGGCAGCTCCCAGAAGACTGTCTCTCCCCACAATGTGTTTTGGGATTGGCGAGTTGTAGACCCACAGTGGGGTGAGTGGAGAATATCTACTTTGTAACAGGAGGCATGCTCATCTCACAGAGGGGGGCGGATGGGTCTCTGGATCCGTATGGGTAAGTCAGGGGCCCAGAAACCATGAGGATCAGCAAGCAATGGAGAACACTGAGCCCTGGGGGCACCAGAGTCAAAACTCTGTTTTGAGGGAACCAGTGAATGGCACCACACTGAAGAGAGCTTTGCCTTCTTGTCAGAGTAGAGGTTGCGATGCGATACCACCTTCTGTCCTTGGGTTTTTTCCTAGAGGCAGTGCCCAGGGTTTAGGTTTAACCCTAGTGGTGAACTGCTGCTATGGCTTTAGGGCTTTTTAAAGTCTAAGGAGAACTGTATTGGGCTATTTTGTTTTTAGATCTGTCCTTAGAAGATCTTGTCAAATCTGACTTTTGACACCCGTTTTGTTGGCTCTCCCCTTCTTTCTGGTCTCTTTGCAGGTTCCTCTATTTTTGCGGTACTTCTCCCCTTCTTTCTGGTCTCTTTGCAGGTTCCTCTGTCTTTGCAGTACTTCTCACCTAAGCTGTGCCAGTCATTGTTTCTACTTCCCCTATTTCATCTATGAAGCCCCGTCCAAGGGACCGAAGGTGGGAAGCAGTGTCCTTCCATACAGGTGGAGCAGCCTTGAGGGGCTTACCACCCATGTTGGCAAGGAAGAGGGTGCCATCCGGCCCCTGGAAAGGAGGGGGATGGGACAGACATCCAACCACGCTGGCGATCTGTGCAACAAAGCCTGTGCCTTGTTTCTAAGCTTCCCAGGTGAAGGACCCCAGGTGTGTCCCCTTCACAGGGCCAGGATGACCCCGTCTCTCAGGGAACAGTCTGAGGGGAGTGCTGTGACACTGCTAAGCCTTTCTGCCTCACCTCCAGAAAGAACCACCCACTGGTGTCTAGCCTGTAATCCTACCGACAAGTACCTAAGGCCTCCTTTAGTTTCTGCCCAGAGTGGCTAACCAGATCAATTAACCCTGGTGAGCCACAGTTAACTGGCTCTTACCACCCGTACCAAACCCAAGTTTACCAGGCCAGAGAGCGGTCAAGGCACTCTGATTTTTGGTTAGGACACAGAAAGAACTTAGGGGACCTAGGGGACCCTACACTCCAAGTGCCCAGCTTCAGAGGCTTGGTCAGCTCTGCCACGTCCTCAGAAAATGGTATGGTTTCGCCAAGGAAGGGCTGGAGCCTTACCAGAGAACAGAACATTTGGACAAAAGGGTTTCCTCAGCGGCTTTTGCCACATAGCTGGGGAAGAAGTAAATGCTCTTTTCTTGCACAAGAAAACAAAATGGATTTGTGATTTTGGGCACTGCATTTGTCTCACTTCTCACCTAGAGCTAAATTAGCAACGTATATGACAATCCTAAAACCTTCAAAGAGCAAGAGGGGTTGGGTTCTAGTAGCAGAGAGGGGCTGAGCCACAGACAAGGCTGTGAGGGGCATCAGCTGTTCCCTAGTCCTGGAGGACACGGCCCCTGATGGTATGCCCCGGTGCGCAGAGGCTCCCCACCACCCTCCGCTCTTTCCTTTGATCATCGTCTTTTACTTGTTGGAGGATTTTGTGGGGAGGGGTTGGCTGCAGAGGCACAAAGTATGACTGACAAACTCTAAATTCATACCACAGCTGTTGGCATTTAGGGGAAAAATGGGAAAATCAAGTTCTCAAAATACAAAATGATGCCTACAGAAAGAGGGAGTACTGAATGAGTACCCAGCCTTTTAATAGCTTTTCCGTCACTGTTAGATTAGCACTCAACCCTCTACCCCATCCCCAACTAGCATCTACAAACATGTTTATTTCTGGCAATCTCCAATTTACAAGCGGATTGTCTTCCAAAAATCAGCCTGTAAATCGCTGTTTAGAACCTGGGGCATTCTCTCAGTTACAACCTTGTAACTGGATCTCAGGGAGTAACTCTGGCCCACAAATGCTCAGTTTTGCCCACAATGAAGCTGAACTACAATATGAATCTGTTATCAGTTCTAATGTCTGGAGTAGGGGGCAAGAGGACCTGGATTAATGGGAGGCAGAGAACGCAAAGAAGAAAACAGGAGTTTCCTTTGGACAGTAGTAGGGCAAGATTTAGGAAAATTTTTAGAATGGGACTGCACATGGATTTCACAACTCCTTCTCTTTTTCATTCTTCCTCCTTCTGAGTATCCCTTTCCTTTCCTATTGTCAACACCACTGGCAGCAGAACTCAACTGGACCCGCTAATGTCTCTAAATGTGTTTGACTCTTTAGCTATACCAAGTGTGAGACGCTGATGTTTCCAGAGAAGGAGTCTGATGGCACTACTTCACTTGGGACCCACCCTGCCCAGCTCCTGGTGCACATTTTAAAAAGAGGATACTTTTGGTTGAGCACAGTGGCTCATGCCTGTAATCCCAGCACTTTTGGAGGCCAAGGTGGGTGGATTGCTTGAGCCCAGGAATTCAAAACCAGCCTGGGTAACATGGGGAAACCCCATTTCTACAAAAAAAATAATACAAAAATTGGCTGGGCGTGGTAGTGTGTGCCTGTACGCCCAGCTACTCAGGAGGCTAAGGGCAGGAGGATCTATTGAGCCTGGGAGGTGGAGGTTACAGTGAGCTGTGATCACGCCACTGCACTCTAGCCTGGAGACAAAGATCTTGTCTTAAAAAAAAAGAAAAGAAAAGGAAGATACTTTTAAAAGCAACCAAATTACAGACTGAAAGAGTTTCAAATGTGTGCAGTGCAGAGACCATGTCTTTGTGTCGGGGAAGCCCAGTATCTACATTGAAGTTGCAAGCTAGCTAGCTTGTTCCTGCTCTTCAGCTTCTCTGTTTACTACATTCTAACCCACAGTTCATTTGAAAGTGGCAGGGGGACACTGGTGAGGGGGGGAGGGCAGCTGTCCACTTCCATCTGGGGTCCTCAACCCTTGACCACCTGTGAGACTCTCCTGGGGAGGTTTAAAAATCCAGATACCCAGAGTATACCTCAGCCAGATTCAATCAATCAACATCTGTTAAAACTCCAGATACCCACAGTACACCTCGGCCGGATTCAATCAATCAACATCTGTTAAAACTCCGGATACCCACAGTACATCTAAGCCGGATTCAATCAATCAACATCTGTTAAAAATCCAGATACCCACAGTACACCTCAGCCAGATTCAATTAATCAACATCTGTTAAAACTCCAGATACCCAGAGTA